CGCTGTTCCGGCCTGCTACTCTGGGCGGGCCTGAGTTTCCTCTCCTCACCTAATCCCTTCAGCTGATTGCTCTTCTCTCTGGCTTCCTGGCTTTTAATCCCCTTTCTCCTGCTCTTCCCGCTTGCTACTTTGGGCGTCCCTGAGTTGTCTCTCCTCACCTGTAACCCTGGGGCATAGAGTGTAAAGAAATAACCCATTTCAATAAGAATGACATAGGGAATTCTACCATTAAATCACCTTTTGGTACCATGTAACAAACAATGATACCTGCTGACCCAGGCCCCAGGTGCTGAAAGCTGATTTACTGGGTATCCCTATCAAGATGACAAAAATATTGTTTAAGTAACTTGCAGTCTACTGGCTGGTAAAGAGACAAAAAAGAAAAGAAGAGTCTCTTTATTTCTATCTTAGCTTACCTTGAATGTATTTAATGAAGCCAGTCCTCAAAGAGTACAATGGAAAAATTAGAGAAGTTTATGAAATGGAAGATATTTTCTAAAGATGTTGATTGGCATGGAATAGTGACTTAATAATTTAATGTAACAACTGCCAGAGACCAATCTTTTAACTTTGGAGGAGAAATAAATATAAAGTTCTATTAAAAATACTTGCTTCATCTTTCCTTATTTCAAATAAGGAAATTCATCATCACTGTCAATAGAACTTAAGTTCAAATAGCTCATTTCATACCATAACACGCATATAGATCTATAAACCTGTACCTGTTGCAATTGAGTCAATTGTGATTCCTGGCTCCCCCATGAATGTCAGAGCAGAAGTATGCTGTATAGGGTTTTCAATAGTTCATTTTTCAGAAGTCAATCATCAGGCCTTTCTTCTGAGGCACCTCTAGGTGGCCCCTAAGCTCTATCCTTTTGGTTAGCAGCTGAGCACATTAACTGTTTGCACAACCCAAGGCCTATGTTGTTGCTGTGTGCTGTCAAGTTGATTCCAATTCATAGCAATCCTATATGATAGAGTAGAACTGCCCCATAGGATTTCCTAGGCTGTAATAATCTTTACAGGAAGATGCCAGGTCTTTTCTCCCATGGAGCAGGTGATGGGTTCAAACTGCCAACTTTTCAGTTAGCAGTTGCACCACCAGGGTTCCTTATAGGTCAGTCTAAATCAATGGGGATTTATGGCAAAGTGGTCTTACCATGTTGTTGTTATTAGTTTCCTTTTACCATTACAATATAAAACTGTTGATTTTAAGAAATAAACAACCTAATTACATAGTAAATAGATTTTGAAATTTTTTTTATCTATTTACATTGATGATGAGTTTCTTTTCCAGTGAGGTTTTACCATCCACAGATTTTCTTCCTTTGTATGCATGCTATAAACTGTAGCATATGGGTATAAAAGTTAAGCAAGAATGGCTCTCTAAAGGAGATTTAACTGCATCAGGGATCTGAGCATGTAAAATCAAGCACAGTGGCTAAAAGAAAGTCACATAAATCTTTAAAATAAAATACACACTTGAACTTGGAGGTCCCGGAGTTCTTGATGGTGCTCGACTTGGCCTTACGGGAAGGGATGGTATAGGACCCTCTGCTATGGTAGGTGACTGACAGGGACTGGTCCGGGGTGAAGAGCTCGGTGAAGTGCCAAGGCCAGAGCTTGAAGATGGCTGGAGATGCTGAGGAAGAATTTCCTCTACTTCAGCACTATAGTCATCAACATCACCTGAGGAAAAGCAAAGTTTATAGAGCATATCACCATTTTAAATTTCTTAGCGATTTTTTTTTCCCCAAATCAAATTTTAAAGGGTTGAATATATTACATTGCAAACATACATGGCATAAGCATGTAAGCACATATAAACAAAATTTCTATGTATAAAACTAGAGTTACTACAAACCCCTTAAAGAAAAGGCAATTAAATAAGATTTCCTCTGGTAGCATAGTGCCTAAGGCACTTGACTGCTAACCAGAAGGCTGGCGGTTCAAACCCACCAGCCACTCCTCGGAAGGAAGGTTGGGCATTCCTACTTCCGTAGTGATATTGCCTCGGAAACCCAAGGAGGGGTCGCTATGAGTCGGGGCCGACTAAATGGCAAATAACAACAACAACAACATCATCTCAGAGCAAAGACAGGATGCGAATGCTGACTAACCAGAAGCTGGGTTGACTAAATGGGCTTTCAAATCTGAGCAGCTGTATCAGTGATAAGGAGCTCTGATGGTCAGCAGTTAAGCACTAGGCGGCTAACTAAAAAGTCAGTTGTCTGAACCCAACAGCTACTCTGTAAGAGAAAGATGTGACAGTTTGTTTCCCTACAGATTTACAGCCTTGGAAACCCTATGGACCAGTTTCCTGTCCTGTCAGAATTGACATGATGGCAGTGGTTTGGGTTTTGGTATCTGAGTGATGAATCAAATGATTATTGCTCTTCTTCCCAAAGCTTTCTACTGTGTTCTGTGGAAGCCCCTCTACTCCAATCCTTGCTTTGGCTCTTATAGTAAATAAGCTCTCAGACACCCACAGTCATAAACCCTTCCCTAATTACTACTAGTACTAGTAGTAGTCTCCTTACTACTCCTTCCCCTCACATTCCCCTCACTTTCTTTGTTTTAGCTGAACAATGACTTTCTCCTGAGGTTTCCTCATCCCAACTTACCTCAGGGTTGGAAAGTGGGGTCAGGGTACCCTTGCAACCTAATTCTAATTCTAGAGCACTAATCTTCCAACCTCAAACAAAAAGCCTATTTCTCTGAGGCTTATGCCATCAGGAATTTATGTAACACTCTCTACCCTGACTTGTTGCAATAATCTCTAACCTCTATCATCTGGTCACCTGAGTCTATCATGAGGACTGAGAAGAGAACAAGATGATAAATTGGGTCCTATCATCTTTCTAAGCGACATCAAAGTCCATGGAAACAGACCATTCAACAACTTAGATAAATGCTTTGTTTGGTCTTATGCTTACTGATACTCGCCTCTATTTAAACACCTACACCCAACATTGTTACACCTCAGAACTGCATTACCTCTGAAATAACATGCTCGAACACTTCGTTCTAACCACCACTTACCAGCCTTTCTGCTCTCTGTTACTCTCTTTGATCTTTTGACCTCATTCCACTCCAAAACCTAGTGCCATGGAGTCAATTCTATCTCATAGTGACCCCATCGGTTTTTCAAGTCTGTAAATCTTTGCAGAAGTAAATTGCTTCATCTTCCTCCCATGGAGTGTGCTGGTGGGTTTGAACCACTTATCTTTTGGTTAGCAATCCAATGCCTTAACCACCAGAGCTCCTTTTGGCCTCATGAGGATCCAGAATCCCTCTACCTTTAGTGCACATCTGACTTGGCCTTCTTCTGTATCTATCTTCAGATTCTAAGGTTCTCTACCTCAATGATTTCCCTACTTTACTATTCTTCCATCATACCTGCTTGAAAAAACCCCAGCCCTAGATCAATTCCACCATTTACTCTCTGTAATTTTATCTGGGCTGCTGCTGCTAAAGAAAAGCACACAATCCTAAGATCACAGTCACATTAAATGTGTCATTTACAGGCTCATTTGGGCTTTCAAAGCTTCTCAGTGATCCATGGCTGGCTGTCCTCTTACCCCTTCTCCACAAGAGCTGTATCTTAAACCTTCTTAACTCTACTGAAATAGTGGATTGCCCACTCCAGCAGATAACTCTACCTCCAAACTTTACAGAGAAAAGAGAAGATGAAAGCTCCTTTCAACAACCTGCCCCTAGTGGGACTCAGATATTTGTGGATGGAATGAATGAGGTTCAACCCACTCATTTTCTCAGAGACCTTGCTCTATCAATTATTCTGCCTTGCCCTTCCTCAACATCATCAGCCCTTTCTCTTCTACCAGTGCTTTTACATCAGCATTAAACATTCTCAAGCCTTGGTCACTTAAAGACAACACTTCTCAGATCCTCAGTCTCCCTGGAGCAATTGTCCTTTCCCCTCACTCTTAGCAAATGTCTTTAAAAAGTTGTCCACATTCACTCTCTACTTTTTGACCTTCCATCCATACTTGAATATACCACCATCTGGCTTCCTCATGCTACTGAAATAACTCTCATGAATGTCATCAACAACCTTCCTCCCTGCTATTAAATCCAAAGGATAAGCTGCAGTCTTCATTTCTTCTTGTTCCTCTGGTAGGACATCACTGACTACTCCCTCTTCTTTATGCATTCTTTCCTTGATTTCTCAGCCATCTGGTTCTTAGATATTTCTGGTTGTTTCTTCTCATTTTCCTTTTTCTGCCTACCATTACAGTCAACATTCCTCAGGATTTGACCCAGGACAAGTTCTCTCCCTTCTCTACATAATCCTACTGGACAATCTAATAAATGTCCATGGTTTTAATTGCTAGGAGAGCTACCTTGGAAATACAAATGCTCTCTTGAGTACCAGACCCACATATCCAACAGCCAATACCAGTATCTGACTGACTCCACAGATAAGTCAAATTGAAGATGTTCAAAACAAAATTCAGTGCATAGCCATGAGGCACAGTCATGAAAACTTCTTAGTCATAACCAAATACCTCCCAAGACTGAGATACTGGTCTTGAGGGCTAGGGACCATAGTCTCAGGGACACCTAGGTCAACTGGCATAACGCAGTCCACACAATGTTCTACATCTTACTTTGGTGAGTAAGAACTAGGGGCTTAAAAGCTTGCGAGTGGCCATCTAAATTACAAATATTGATCTCTTTCTGTCCAGAGCAAAGAAGAGTGAAGAAAACCAAGACTCAAGGAAATAATTAATCCAAAGGACTAGTGAACCTGAACCACAGCTTCCACTAACCTGATACCAGAAGAACTAGATGGTGGCTGGACACCACCAATGACCACTCTTACTGGGATCACAATAAAAAGTATCAAACAGAATGGGAGAAAAAGGTGGAACAAAACTCAAATTCATAAAAAAGCCTAGACTTACTTGTCTGATTGAGACTGGTAGAACCCCTGAGAATATGGCCCTTAAGCCCCCTTCAAACCTGGAACTGAACTCACCCCTGGAGATTACCTTTCAGCCACATAAAAGGCAGGCCAAGTAACATACTACACAAAAACACTGTTCCACATCCTACTTTGGCCAGTAGTAACTAGGATCTTAAAAGCTTGCAAACAGCCATCTAAATGCAATGATGGGTCTCCCCTTGTCCAGAGCAAAGAAGAACAAAAAACAAAAAACAAAAAAGACACATGGAAACAATTAGTCCAAGGGACTGGCACACCATGTAATCCTCAGCCTCTGTGACTAAGAGAGCAGAAGAACTAGATAGTGCTCAGCTACCACTGTCAACCACTTGAAGGGGGATCTATGTAGGAGATTCTGGATAGAGTGAGAGAACAATGTGGAACAAAACTCAAAATCATTAAAAAAAAAAAGTACCAGGTTTGCTCGTCTGACAGAGCTCGGTGGAACCCCTGAGACTATGGCCCCTAGCTGCCTTTCAGGTCTGGAACTGAACTCACTCCTGTAGCTTCCAGCCAAACAAAAGACAGGCATATGAGCTGAACATTTACATTAGGTAGATACACTCCTTGGATAGATCAATCATGGGAGAATAGAAGGGCTGTGTATGCAAGGAGAGACAGCTCGGGGCAGGAGTGCACAGGAGGGAAGGACACAGGGAAGAGGTAACACATAGGTAGGAAGTGGAAAGAGAGCTGTTGCACTGTGGGAAATTGTAGTCAATGTCATGAGACAAAGTATACATGAACTGCTGTATGGAAAATGAATTTCCACCCAAATCACAATAAAAATTTAAAAAAAAAAAAGACAAGCCAAAAAAGTGAACAGTAATATCCAAGAGGAACAAACTCCTTAGAATAATCAATTATATGAGAACAAAAGGGCAGCATTTTCCCAAAAGGAAAGTTAAAAAGGCAGAAGGGGTAGGACAAACAGAAAGGGGAAACCCAAGGTGGAAATGAGAGTGCTGACACATTGTGGGGATCGGAACCAATGTCATGTGACAACCTGTGTATAAATTGCTGAATGGGAAACTAATTTGATCTGTAAACTCCCACCTAAACTACAACATTAAAAAAAGAAAATTCACTTCTCATCCCATACCTACTCCTACAACCTTCTTTCTTCAGTTATCCCTCATAAGTTACTTGTAAAATCAATGTTAGATCCTTCTTTTCCCCCTTAGGCCTCTGTGTATTCATTTTCTTCCTGGATCATTCCTCTTTATCCTCTTTAATCTAATTCTTACTCAACCTTCAGATTTTCACATTAAGTCTCAATTCCTCTGGGAAACCTTTCCCAACTTCCCAATTCCAGGTTAAGTAATTATCCCATGAGCTCCCCAACACCATTCTTCATTGAATTTATGTCACTTTATCATAACTGCCTGCTTACTTGTATGTAAAATGCACTAGCTATGAGTTCTTTAAAAGCAAGGGCCACATCTGTTTAACTTCCAGCATCTAGCACGTAGCTGGCACATAAAAGGCACTACATAAACCTGTGTGGACTAGGTAAATGAATGTTGTTGTTGTCAGATGCAGTCGAGTTGTCTCTGACTCATAGTGACCCTATAACACAGTGGAATGAAACACCGCCTGGTCCTATACCAGCTCCACAATCCTTGTAAGGTGTTCAACTTTGAAATGCAGTGTCTAGCCATCCTGTATTAGATTATGATGTATGTCATTTTATAAACTAAGACATGCATTTTAATGAAAAATATGATAGGATAAGAGAGCCTTAGAAAATAAACACATTTTTTGAGGAAATTATTATATCCAGATAACCTGTCCAAAATTCTAAACCTAAAATGGTTACAATTATATGCGTTGGTTCAGTTTCAAATCCATGTGTTCCTAGCCACTTTGAATCTTCTAAAATTATTTTGGAACATATTCTCTTTTGTAGTAACTATTTTAAACTCTGGTGGCACTGTGGTGAAAGTGCTGGGCTGCCAGTCAAGAGGCAGTGATCTGAATGAACAAACTGTTCTGCAGAAGAAAGATGAGGCAGTCTGCTTTCATAAAGATTTACAGCCTTGGAAACCCCATGGGGCTGTCTGACTCTGTCCTATAGGATTGCAATGAGTTGGAAACAATTCGATGGCAGAGGGTTTATTTGCAACTCATTTCTGATGCTAGAACTCCACTTTCTCATTTTTCACCTTAAATGCAATTACTAGGGTGAAACTACACACCAATAATACCACTTTGAGTTCTAGTCATATAAGAATATAAACATTTGTAAATGTCTTAATGTTTGAATAGCAAAATGGCAAATATACTTAAGCATAGGTATAACCAAAATCAACACAATACAATGCAAAATAAAACCTAATTAATAATGCTACCTGTACTCCAAGAAGGAAGAGAAAGATAAACTTGGATGCTAAGACTTTATGGATGGGAAGGAAACTTATCTACAACTATAGAAGTAAATATATAGAAGCCAGAGGGGATGGCAGAGCAGAGCAGCAGCCAGGGATCCAGGTAAGGGGAGGGACCCAGGCCCAACCCCCACAAGCCCAGAAAGCAGGGGAAGGAGAAGCCAGGAGGATGACAGAGCAGAGCAGTGCCAGGGATCCAGGTAAAGGGAGGGCGGAGAGGTTTCGAATAGCTAAGTGAGAAAAACTTGTCTGTCTGTCATCACAGCTTGCATGATGCTGTGAGGCTTGAGGCTGTGCCACCAGTGTTTCATGTGCCGGTAGGGTTGCACATGGTGCACAGGTTTCAATGCAGCTTACAGACTGAGACAGACTAGGAAGAAGGAAGAGGCCACCCACTTCTCAAAGAATTGGCCAGGGAAAACCTTATGAATAGCAG